TGAGTCGGGATCCCCCTGAGCGGCCTGTGCTTTGGGGTCTGCTCCACTGCTGCTGGCGGACCTCCGGATCCAGTGCTGCAAAACACGAGCTGGCGAATTCGACAGGTGCAGAACAGCTCCCGTGTCTCGGCATCTGAAAACTTAAAGGCTCTTTTTTTTTTTTTTTTTTTTTTTGTCTGCAATACATCTGAAGACTGGAACCACTCTGCACTGAAAGGGAGCCTTTTCCTGTTGCAGGAAAACTGGACGAAGTGTTTCATTCAGAATGTTAAATGTCTTTGAGATTATGAGGGTTCATCTATTTAGCACTGCATTTTAAGCCTGGCTGAATTAAAAAGGGGAGATAGGAGACTGGGGATGGATTGACGGATGGGAGAGACCTGATCTGCCTGAAATCATGTTCCTGAATCTTCCCTATGATAAAGGCGCTTTTTTTTTTGTCATGCAAAGTAACATTCACATTAAAAGATACATATTGCTAGCACAGTAAGCCAAACAACTATGTGTAAATTGTGTGCTACATTTAAATAAAAACAGCAGCCTTGAAAGGGAGAAATAATAGAAGCATCTGGTCTGGCAGCCATCTTACTGTGAGCAGCATATGATGCTGTTAATGCTTAAACTTGGCATCAGATGTTACCTGTGGCAGTTCTATGAAAACGTGTCACCAATGGCTGCTTGTGGGGCGTGGGGGGGGGAGTATGCTATTCTTCTGTTGTTTTGCTGCTAATAATACTGGAACTGAGTTTTAACTGAAACCTGAGTACTAAGGACAAAGTTAAATTCACTTCTAATATCTAGCCTTTTTCTTCCTCTCTGTTTTTGCAGAAGAAATAAATCACTTCCGGTGTGACTGATGTTCTTCTGGCAAATGTGGCAGGGAAATATTTTTTTTTGACAGTCTCTTCTCCCTTAAGATTTTAATTAAAAATTAACAACATGTATGTATTTGGAAAATGTTTATTTTCAGCAGCATGCTATGTAATTATAGCAAGAGTAGCATAAATGGCAAAATAGAGGTGAATTGCTGATGCTGTTCTAAAAAAATAACTAGCCTATGCAATGAGAGTGGTGATTTGCCAGTAAACTTCAGAAAATGTTTGCATTGGCTGAAAGCCAGCCTGCTTTACCAATTCAGGGTAATGTCTTGCTGTATGTTGCACTACGGTTTGAAAGAACACATGATTAAAAGAGGAAAAAGAGTTAGGAAGAAATTGAGGTATTATGAAACTTTAAGGTATTTTGTTAAGGTATTACAAGACTTTAAAGGGTACCAATTCTACACAACTGCAGATGACTATTTGAAAACAAAGTCTGGAATCCAACCTTCAGTGTTGAACATCTTAATGAACATTCGTAAACACTACTTTGTAGCCTAAGATCTTGCATAAGTACTTTAGATAGACTTTTTTTTTTAAATATTTATACTAGGAAATGTATTAAAATTTTTGTTGAAGTGTTTGTCTTCTATTTGAGGAGTCTTGTAATGCTGTAACTCAGGTTTCAGAATTAACTTCTCTAGTCTATTCAATGTTTTAATGAAGTACAGGTTTTAGTTAAGCCAAACTTTTTCATGTAGAATTTTTATCAGTAAATTTGCTTATTCCATTCTTCAATTTGTAGAGAAACATATCTACCAATAAGGCAAGTTTATTTTACCTTCCAAATGTTAGGCCTACCTAGTGCCTACTAAAACTGGAACTTAATTGTATGCTACTTCCTTTTAAAGCAAAAACAATCTTGCAGAAATGTCTGAATTTTAACTTCTGATGCATTTGTAAAACATAAAATTTAGCCCTCTAGGTGAAATGTTTGATTTACCTGGTAGGCTTTTGCTGGAAGTACCTGCAGTCCATCACTTCTTGCTTTTATGTTTCTTCTTAGTAGTTTATCCTTTTTAATGCATGAAATTATGAAGGGGTTTAAACAGGCTTGATTTAACATCTTAATGTACTTAGATTTTATAACACCTTAGTGTTTTCTCTTTTAGACTCAGAAAAGCAAAATTGTAATACATCCTTTCTTCGCACACTTCAGCAATTTGGGGGGTGGTGTTGGTGTTTGTTTGGGATGATTTTTCTTTCTTTCTTTAAACTGAACGTACCAGATAATAAGAGTTACTTTTTTGGGGCACTTATAAACTCTCTGTCCTTTTAAATTGCAGTGGTTCATTCCAAAAGGGTTTGCAGTAAGTCTCACTTGCCAACCTGAATTTCTCATTCTTCTTTACTGTACTTGGTATCTCTGTGCTGCCACTTGTGCCTCTGGAAAACAAATTATGCATTAGATCTTTTTCGTATCTGAATAAACAATCTACCAGTTATCTTGGTTCAGTACAGTTTCCATTTGCTTTGTAGTGTGCTTGCATATTTTCTACTAACCAGGTTTTAAACATTTTGTTCTAATCTTTCAACAGAAGTCAGACTGAAGGTCTTTTGAAGTTTGTTAATAGAATAGTTACCATCACCACAGGGGTATGTTGAGACATTAAAGCAAAGGGAAAAGAGGAAAAAGCAATAAGGACTATGCGGAAAGACATAATCTTTCCTTAAAAGCTGTCAAACTGGATGTCCGTCTGTAACCAGTCCCTAGGTCAAATCTTACTCATCCTACCTTTCTTGCTTTTACAAACATAATTTGTGTACGGGTCTTGTCTTTTTCTTTTTACCATAGAGTATGCAGACTTAGGTCATGGTTCTCCTTCAAACATAGAAGAGGAAGGTGGAAGGGTAACACTTCTCTTATTACCAAACTTTATTATACAGCAACTTTGACATTTCCGTTTGTGTATATTTATTTGGTAGTACACTGGTGGCCTTTGAAAGGAAGTTGTTATCATTTCAAACACTCCCAGCGTATAGAAGGTGCTCTGGTAACTTTCTATTTTCAGGCTCTGACAGTATAGGTATCCTATCTCGGTCTCCTGAGCTCAGAGACTCTGTGTTACTACTGATAATGAAAACTTGTAGGCTACTGATACGCGCTTAAGCTACATATATGTTCCTTTGTTTTAGGAAACTAAGTGTGTTAAGAAATTAGTGTAAATGAGAGATCTTAGTGGCAGTAAAAAGATTTAAATATTGGAACCGTAGTAGCTGAAACTTAAATTTCATATTGATGTTATGATTTGTAGTTGAACACTGACCCCGTGAGGGAACTTAAGTTGTACTCTGCAGTTTACATAAGTCGCTAGTCACAGCTTCTCTACTGGCATTATCTGTCAGCAGCTAAATGCAGTGAGGTATTGAAATTTGTTGAGTTTAAGAAATCTTAAATTGTATTAATAAGCCTCAAGAAGAAAGAAATGTTTTCACATTTTTATATTAAAGCATTTTCATTTGACAGCTTATCGGTGATAATGTAAATTACAACAAGTTGTTAACGTTTTAAAGATTTCTTAATCAAAATTAGTTAACAATGCTTGTGTTCCTGCTGCTCAACAGTGTGGGGTTTTTTTTGGGGGGGTGGGGGGGTGGGTGTTATAGTAATTGAATGGCATGAGATATTTTCAAAGTGATCTACAAGGAGGGCAACGTTGCTACTATTTTCCTGCTATATGTTGTGGAAGGGGATGTATTAAAATCAGTGATTTGTCTCCTGAAAAATCTTTACCACTACCAGCTGCAGTGGCACTGCAGGATTTATTGCATTTCCTTTAATGTTTAATAATACTTACTACTGGCCATTGTAAGAAGAGAAGCTGTACTGTTATGACCCTACAGTAAGCTGAAAAATACCTTAATGTAATAAGCATGTGTGAGATCCCAAAATAGCAATGAAATAGAAGAAAGGTGTGGATAAAAGTTCATGTCTCAATCTGCGTGGATTAATATTATTTCTCCTCTCAGTGCCTGAAACTGAGCGGTAACAACTCTGTCATGTGTTAGTGCTTTGTTAGTGTAGTCCAATGTTGATCTCGGCTTTTCAGCAGCACTTGTGTCCCAGATGAGAAGTGGTATTTGCAGTGGGCTCTGAGATTCTTTGCATGGAAATGCAATGACTGTTTTCAGGTTCTTCAGTTAAAAGCCTATGAACTCACGGGCACATGATCAGTGCATGTGATCTCATTGTAATGAGCTTTGGACTTAAACTGAGGTGAGCATACTTGCTGAAAATGAGATCTGTATACTGGCTTATATTTGTATTTAGTATATCGACAGTTTACGTACATTGGTCTTAATAGTATTAATCGAAACAGCTTCCTGAAATTTCACAACATTTACAGGTCTGTTAATGTTTAAGCTTCACATTTTCAGAAATCAGTGCTAGGATAGTATATTAGTATATCTTAAGCTTTACTGTTTATGGTAAAGTTGAAGCTCATTATTTTCCATCTTCTGGGTAGTTTTACTAAGCCAAGAACAAATACTACATATACATTGTCTTGTAGAAAACGTTCATTGTTAAAAGGCTGTGCCACATTACAACAGATACTTGATGAGTCACTAAACTAGATCTATCCAGCTGCTTAAGAAAAGCAGGCTCTGTTGAATAATGGTTCTGTGCAGGCATTCTTCCCTCTCCCCTGCCCCTCAATTGTTGCAAGAAATGTGTTGAAACACTTTCAGAATATTTCGTAATAGTACACCTGGTGCATAAATAGTGTAAAAGCTGTACCCTGGCAACTGCTAGAGTCAAAGCATGAAATTCCATGTGAGAAATAACATATTCCGGCTATTCAAGGAAGTAATTTTCAATGGGTCATGTGCATTAGAGGCACAAATTTTTGATGTGTGGAACTTCAAATGAAGATTTCTGTTTTGCTTTATATGATATCATGCAAACTTCAAGGACATTTCTGACAGTTGGAGATGGGCTTCTTAATGTGTGTGACCCAAGCAGACGTATTTTGAAGAATAATATTAAAAGAAAAATTAAAAATTAGGAGCCAAAGTCCACTTTGGGTCAGTTAGTTGGTATTAAAATTATTAAAATTATACCTCAGTCAGTATTAAAATTCTTAGAAAAATTAGCTTCAAGTGGTAGATATTGAGAAAAAAAAGGAAAGAAGAAGGGTGAGACACCTGGAAAAATGATCAATTTGAAACATCAATATTTTAGCACTGCAATTTCTTCTATACGTGTTATGGCTCTCTTCGTGTCCAGTAGGAGCAGTAGAATAAAAACTCGGGTCTGGAATTATTGCAGGGAAAATAAACTAAATGTAACTGGTGCAGTTATGAGTCACTGTTAATGTGATGGAGGGCTGGGAGGGGGAAAGAACTGCACTTTTTTCCACTTGTATCCGTTTTCAGTCATTAGTCCTGCAGAAAGAAGGAAAAAATCATCATGTATTCTGTCTGTTTACAGAAATAGGAACCTATAAATAGTTGCTGGAAGAAGAAGTTTAGTGAAGCAAGAAAAGAGGAAGGAGGGGCTATGTTCCAATAGGACAAATTAAAGGAAATAACACTACTGATAGTTGCATAGCAGTGTTTGAGCTTGGGACAAAGCTTGATCACAGTTAGTCTCTGCACAGAAGCCTTTTGGATCACTTCGAAGACACCATTTGAAGGCAAACATGCAATTTGAATTGGTGTGTCTTCTACTAAATTTCCTTGCTATCTTGTATGTGAAGACCAAGGAGTCAAGATGTGACTTGTCTGTCACTCAAAATGTGTTCTTGGGACTCTTGCATTGGTTCCCAGTCTCCTGTCCACTCTTCTCAGAAGAAGGCTCTACAACTTTTTTAATTTTGGGGGAGAGGGGGGACATCGGGTTGTTTGCTTGCTTTTTGTTTCTGTTTTAACACTGTTCTCTCTATTCAGTCTCTGATAAAACATTGAAGCTGAAAGTGTGGGTCCTTAAAAAAAAAAAAAGATTAAGCTGTGGTCTTGGCCTGTTTCAGAACTTAGATTGTCATTATAAAGCCAAATGTTTTAGCATTCTGGACAATAGCGACAGTATTTTACCATGTAACTTTGTCCATTAGACCACCAGAAAACAATCTTTTTTCGGTCCTGTTATTCAACAAACACATTGTAATGTTTCTTAATATTGCTGAAGGATTTGTTGACGTTCAAGTAGGTGTATTTAGGTTAATCAGAAAGAACATTCTGGCATTACCCCTAAAGACAAGCAGGTTCCTGCCTCTTTTTTTTTTTTAATTACAATTATTAAACAAGTAGTTGTTCATGAGAATGGAATGAAGCTATTCCTGGCTTACCCAAGAGTTTTAGGTGCCAGCCAGCAGAATATGTGCCCCACTTCTGTAAAGGTAATTACACAGTATGTTTTTCAGTCCACTTGAGAAAAGTGCCAGGCACACAAATGTTTGTACTAGGCTAATTAAATTACACTAGAGGTAGTTTTGGCAACGTAATGAGGGGAATAATGTAGTTAGCCCAGCAACTTCAGCAGAACACATAAGTATTGACCAGTTGCTATTGTTACTTACTTTCTTATATCAACACACAAACATCTTTGCCTACACTGTATTGTCCAAGGGTGAATATAGAACGCATGCTTGTTGCAAATCCAAGATGCCTGAAAGCACAAAAGAAATATCCAAACTGCTACGTGTCATAATTCTAAGAAAATTTCACATAAAATATAGGTGCTCCTTTAGAAATGGTGTGTGAGTTTAGATTGTAACTGCGAGGAAATATGCACATTAGGTATGCTTGGCAATTTAAGTTGATAAGAGTTGCCCGACTGTTCGGTTGTGATTTGGCTGATTGCTAAGAGGTTTTTAAAATTCTTCAAGCACTTTGGTGTTTAAAGTCCATCCAATCTAATGGCCTTTCCCCCCCCTCTTCCCCTCTGTCTTTCAGCAAACGAGGATTCAGTGTCCGATCCTTTGGAACAGGGACTCATGTGAAACTGCCAGGACCAGCACCGGACAAGCCGAATGTTTATGATTTCAAAACAACATATGATCAGATGTACAATGATCTGCTTAGGAAAGACAAAGAACTGTATCCCTGTGGCATGGCCTCTTTAAAAAAATCCAATATGGTTCATCCTTGAAAGGTGTAATTCATTATTTGGCATTATGCATTAGGAATATATAGTTGCTTGTCTGGCGATCTTAAAATGTTTTAGGTTTATAGGAGGTTTTTTTACAATGGGCCTCTAATGCTCCCTTGTAAAATGCTATTGAGTTACAATGCACGCATTCAAAATGCTCTTTTGTAGTGTGTTAACGTGTTTAGCTCTTGAATGAAAGCGCATTAATACTATCACAGATTGTCCGTTACCTCTACTGCACTGTGGATCATATTTGCTCAGTGCAAAGACTGTCCTGATAATGGATGTGCGAAGAGCGACCACCTCGACGTTAATGTTGTGTTTAGCTCAGACAAACTGACAGGTAAGGTTTACAGTATACTTTCTCTGGGAGAGAGGATACCTTTCATTAAAGAGCTCACCCTTCTCACTGAGAATTTCTTGATACAGGATTTGATCTGTGAGCCAAAAAAAAAAAAAATCTTATACTATAAATCGTAGAATCATTTAGGTTGGAAAAGACCTTTAAGATCAAGTCCAACTGTAAAAGAATGGACACAGGAGAGCCCAATAACATATTTAATCCTGGAGAACAGAGGTGATCAAGGTTATGCACACTACTTAAAACCATGACTAATGTCAAACTGCATGATTTTAGAACATCTATATTTCAAGTTGACTTTTCATTTGTTTTTAAGAAAACTCACAAACCTACAAAATTGGGGCACTCATTCTAGGTATTCTTTTCTCAACAAGGGATCTGATTTTTTTTTTCAATGTTAAATATGAAAGAGAAAACTTACCCTAAATAAGCAACTCAGTATATGCTGAATTTCTGCTTAAGAGATAGAAGACCCTTTGGAGTGAAGTATACCAGAAATGGGTCTTGGTAATTCAGGAGAGCAGTCTTTGCACTTTTTAGCGGTATGAGGTTTTTTCCTAAAATCTTGGGTATGGCCATCTGAAGATTCAACAGGAATGTTAACATGGTTTGTCTTAGTTGTACTCAAACAGCCCAGTTTTCTTGCATCTTTTTGGAAAAAAAATTGGAATAAGACTAAACAGGTTGTCAGAGACTAGAAAACTTGGAACATGGTAGAAACTAGTTCAAGCTGTTACCCAAGGAGTTGGCAAACTCAGTACCTTTTTGAAAGACAGCTCTACAGTTGTTTGGTAGCACAGATTATACTATGGCCTACTACTACTCAGCAAATTCTTTGTTGTATTTGCTGAACAGAAATAATAAATTTGAGCTCCCTGAGACCCCAAGAGTGGCGGCTTCTTTTGCATTGGGCATTGAAAGGCTTCTGTTAAGAAGGGCTGGGCTGTTTGATTAAAGCTATACAGCACAGTGAGAACTGATTAAACATTGGGATACCTTTCTGCATGGTGTTCCACACAAATGGTATCCCCAGTAGGGGTATTGGTTTCCTAATACCTAGTTAGAGGTCCTTTTTTAAAAAAAAAAAATCAAAATATAGGGTATAGTCTTCATGAATCACATGTGTGATGTGCTGGGGGTTTTTTGTATCCCTCTGCCTATAGAGAAAAGGAAAATCTTGCAAACCCATCTTAACAAGGTATGCCATATCTTGATTAAAAAAAATTGCTTCAAAAGAAAATTATTTGAATTGAGAAATAAGTTTAACAGGCACTAACGACTTGTGATTTCCTTGTTGCATTCTTCATTGCTGCTGTACTGAATATGGCACTGCTTTAAGATAAGCAGAAAGCCTACCTATTCCCCCACCATTCGGCATACTTTGGAGTTACCATTTTGGTTCTGCTCTGTGCTGGAGATAGTTGCTGTGTTCCCCAAATGTATTTGCAGTGCTACAGTTAAACCTTTTCTCATTAAACCTTTTCTCAAGATAAAAGAAAGCAAGTTTAAGCAATAGCCGTTGCAAGGGAAATGGGGCAAGAATAGGGCCTCTACATCTTTGCATTTTTGATTCTCAGATATTAGAAGTTAAGGTTTTCAGAGTGAAAACTGTCAGGGCGGAAAGCAACTCCGTTTCCAGAAATGGGTTTTGAGGGTAAAGACCTTTACAGTAACCAAGCCCCGACCTACTCATATCAGAGTTGTGGAGTAGTTTTTTGTGAACCAGGGTCATGTGGGCTCTCAGTTTTTTTGGATGAGCATCATGCTGAAGGGTGGGAGGGCTTGCCCTTCTGATGGGCTTTGAGTGCAGTTGGTATGGGAAAACAAAAGAAGGTGTGGTTCTTCATATGATTTAGCTGCTTGTTCTGTTCCCCAGCCTTGCTTTCATCAGCTAAGTGGAGATGACTGTCATCTGTAGCCTTTCCATGTAGTTTGAGATAGTATATCTTGGTGACAACTGTCTGCTTGTTCCCATATTCCAGTGATGGGACACATGAAGTTTGAGTGCTCAGCGTTCAGTACTGCCTCACTTAGGAGTGATGTCCTTCCTCCAGTTCTGTATGCCAGCAGGGGTCCAAAGCATCATGGACACTAGATACTCAGTGAAATTGTGCCTGTAAGGGACTTAGAACGTTCTCTGTTGGCCAGCCAAGTAAATGACCCCTGTTTCAGAAAGCAGTAGTCTCAAACAGAAATGTGCTTCTGCAGTGCTGGACATCAGTCAGAGCAAGGTTAAAAGTGTGTTAGAGTGAAAAGATCCATTGAAACTCCTAATCACTTGTGGAAAGGAGGGAGAACTATCAAAAACCCACTCTGCAGAGACTAAAAGCACCTTCATTGCGGTTAATTAATGAAACACAAGAGCACAAGCTCACATACCTTGAAGGCACACGTTGAATTTCAGAAGCACAGAAATAAGGGATTTATGGAGCCGGGCATACAGATTCAGTTGAGTAGGTGGTTACAGTATATCTAAAATGGAAGTACTTCAAAGTGTTTTAAGATGTGGTAGTTAAACCTTATAGTTAAAATAAGTATCCACACCTACCATTGCATTTTTAGAATATTGCATTTAAATTCCCTGAGTCCTAATAGAGGACTGCGACAAAACCATTTAAGGCTGTTCTGAATGTGGCTTTTGGTTGCTTTTTAAAATATTACTCTATTATTTCTAGGAGAACAATGGAGGGTCCTACTACTAATCTGTAGGAGACATGACCAATGGCTGCAGTACCTCTGTGGAGCTATGTGTGCGTAATATAGATACACTACCTTGTTGTATTTGCATGTGTAACCAGACCTCTCAAAGATAGGCCACTTGCCCCTTATAGATGTGTGAAGGGGTTTAAGGACTTTGTTTCATCTTTAAAGTCACCATCATATAATTAGAACTAAAATAAAGGAAAGCGTGAGCCCTGCCTTCAAGTGAATGCAAAAACTAGTCAAGGATGAAACCTTCTAAAAGCCAATTTAAATCTGCAACAGCAATTGCTTTTATGCCCAGGGATAGGAACTGTTCAAACGGAAATTTGACCCAAATTCTGCAGCAGTAGCTCCTGGGTTCTTTTATCAATATTAACTAACTCCATGATTGATTGTTTCTTTCCCTTTCTCAACACTGATGTATCTGTGACCCTCAGATAGAAGATACCTAATGATTTCCATAGATAGGTGGGGTTTTTTACTAGAATTTCTAGGCAGCCTCCCTCTACTCTACAAGCTTGGCCTACTGCTCTGTTTCCTACTTCTTTTTACCTCCTCTTTTAATTTGACCTGCTCTCTAACTGTAGATAGGCTTCCAGCTTTAGCTCTATAGTTACATGACGCTATAAAATTGGGGGGGTGGGGGCAGAACATGTCCTCAAGAAATTACTAAAGGCATGCTTCAGGTAGAAAGGAAAATCTTTTAGAAATTAAGAAGAAAAACTGGCTCGGTACATCTCACTCAAAGACATAAGGATTCTTTTCTGTCAAAAAAAAGTAGTGATAATCTAGGTGATTGGGATCTGGGTTTTCTCTCAGTGAACTCCATATTTAAGCTGGATGGCCATATGGTACTTTTTGTGCTATTGCTGATGTGTGGTGGTTGGTGGGGTGGGTTTTTTTTGATAGTACCCTTCACATTCAGAACGAGTGGAAACAGTTTCTTCTGCCATATACAGGCTGCTTTGCCAGTAAATATTCATAGCATTATGGTCTCCCCATAGCTGACGCTTATCCCTGGTTTATCCCCCAGTCTTCCATCTGCCTAAGAAGATGTCCTCTATTAACCGGTAAGATGCGTTGTGGTAGACCATCAGTAGAGGAAAATGTGGTGGCTTTGGAGCAAGCATAGGCTTGAGGGACTATGTATAGCGGTTCCATAATTGAAGGAGGGGGGAAATCTGAAGCAAGTTCTGGCATGCACGAGATCTTCACAGGGTCTAGATGAACAAAACTGAAATTTT